GGCCGCAGGATCGATGGGCAACGCGTCCCCTCCGCTCCGCTGGCTCAGAGCGGGTCCCAGCTGCGTTTTCCTCCCCGGAAAAAGTCTCTGGATGCGACTCAGAGGGTGTCGTGACTTTTGGGGTGCCATCGCGAGAGCAGAGCCAGCCGGACGCATCCTGCCCGGCCTGATGCCTCCGGGATGGGATCGAGCCCTGCCGAAAGCTCCACGGAGGCAAGCTTGAGCGAAGCAGATTTTTTTTTTCTTTTTGGCTTTGGGAAGTTATTAGCGAGGCCGATTTGAGCGCTTTTTGCAGCAAGGGGGCTTTGTGGGTGGATTTCTCAACTCAGAAAGATTTGGAGGTTGGGAGGAAGCAGGGCCGCAATGGAAAAGTTTGCGTTTTACATTTTCAAGAGGAAATATTTTCCATTTGGGGATTGGAAGTGACTTCTGTTTAGAAACTTGAGAAGAGCGTGGCACGACGTGAACATAAACAGCAAAACAAGCCACCTCCCTGCAGGCCAAACTGCAGCGTTTCAGATCGACTGAGATGGAGCATCCCGACCGACCCGAACGGAGACGTCGCGGAGGGCTCTGGACACCTTGGCTGATCCTCAGCTCCGCTGAAGCCTTCCCAGGACCCCATCTCACTTCCACCGCTCCGGGGTTTGCTCTGCGCTTTCCCAGCAAGCTTTGGCCGGGATGATGGTTTCCATTAGCCGGCGAGGGTGGCTCTCTGCCGTCCCATCTCTTCCACGTCTCCCCCATCATTGGGGAAGGCTTTAGACAAGGGTGTCCGTGTCCCCCTCCGCACGACCCAGATTATGGGGCGCTGGGTCCCGGGTTGCCCTTTGCAAGCCCAGACCAGTGGGCCTTCAGTGCTCCTTTAACTGTTTATCTAGATTTCCCCTGAAACCAGAGATGCCTTGCGAGCATGGTCTTCATTATAATTCGATTAGTTACATTTCCAGATAATTGCCTATTACATTTTCCCCTTCCAGACCCTCCCTTTGCCTTTTCTCGGAGAAAAAAAAAGCAAGAGGCCGTGCACATGGGGGTCACTGCCCAAATCTGCTTTCCTCTGGCAGCCAAATTGCGTGGCTGGAGATGGGGCTCAGCTGCGAGCTGGCCATCTCCGGGTGCCGCTGAGCCTTTCCCGAGGATGCTTCGTAAGGGTGCCACGGCCGCATGATAAGACCTGATCTCCCTCTTCTCTTTCCCGGCCGCTATCTCACACGTGGGGAGCCCTGACTTGTCGTTGCCAACACCCAAAACGCCGGGATCCTGCCCCGTCCATGCCTAGAGCCAAGCCACCATGCATGCTTGCAGGAACCGCACGCCTGGTGGCGATTACTAGTTCAGTGGCTAGAGGCAGCCCCTGTCTCATCACCCCTCGGACTAACCCTACGTTGATGCATCAGCCCATATGAGCCACCTGGACCTGCATCTGAACCACGAGTGGATCAAACCCAACTGGCTGCATTTTTTTTCCTCCCACTCACATGCCACACAACTTTGGGCTCTTGGCTCTTGGCCTTTTCGGTGGAGATCCGTTGCAGACAACTGACAAATCACCCTTAATCCACCAAAACTGCTAAATCTCTGGATAATCCCTCCCCGCCACCGCTTCGACACCGTTCCCCTGCAACAGGCCTGCGTGAGGCCATCAATCAGTGCCTTTGGCTCCTGGGTGCCTCCTGGGCCGTGTCTACACAGGGAAACCCTCTCATTTATAAAATCTGGGGACCTCCCACAGTTTCCCATTCCCCATGACCCTGGCGAGGGGGTCGTTGCTCAGAGTAAACTGGTTGAGAGGGAAGGTCCTAATATTTAGATGGGAAGCCATTAGCAGGCAATATCTTATCTGCCTCCTGTTTGGAAGCGGAGGCTGGGCGCGATGGCAGGAGCGCGGGTCATGCTGGAGTTGCCTCTGAAATGCCCCTGACATGCTCCATTTTGCCATCGGTGCTTGCGGCTGGGTTATAGCAAGTCCCTAGCTATACAGAGCTGAAGGGATATACATATATGTATATATCGTCATGGGATGAGAACAGTGGGTGCAGAAGGACTTCTCAGAGGAAGAAAAAAAAGAGTTTTGATCCCCAATTGTTGAATTTTAAAGCCAAATCTGCCCCGAAACATAAGTAATTTCCTTGGGAAACCAGGCAAGAAGCCAACCAGGAGCAAACCAAAAACCAAGGCAGTGGGGTTGTTAGACTCAACATTGGAGGGAAAGACTCCAACTTCCCCACTGACTTATTTGTAATATCTTCAGCAGAAAGAGCCCCCCACTTCAGGGCTGCTGCAGAGATAACTTCAGAGCACTCTCTTTCCTTGACTACCCTCACGTGGCAGCGGCTGGGAGCCCTGGTAGCACTGGGAATGGGAACAGAAATATAGAAGTAACAAAACTCATTGGAAACAGCAAGGTTGTTGGCCATGAGTTAGCTCTACCCAAGTCATCCTTGGCAGCTTTCAGCATGCAGCTCCTGAGTGCTCTGTCATCCCCCCTGCTCAGCTGGGCATTGACTAAAGACAAGAGGGCTGAGGCAGCTGCTTGGACTGCTTGGACCAAAGCCAGTTTCCCAGAGGTTGTCCCCAAGGTCCAAAGCCATGGGGGACATCTGTGCGCAGGCCAGAAGGCTCTGCAAGCAGGGGGGAAATATTGACCCACCATCTAGTCCTGCAAGTTGGAGAAAAGCAAAGTCCTAGAGCCAAGAATATGGTTGCTCTCTCTTCCCTCTCCTGCCTCCAAGCCCAGCATGGGATGGGTGTGCGTGGGACAGAAGAAATCTGGCTTCTCCATGAGAAAGCTGCCTTTTGGCAGCATTCTTATTACATGCGCACTAGGAACGTTTGGCTCTCCATCATCCACCAGGGAAATTTTTATGTTGCTCTGTAGCTTTGGTTCTACTTAAGTATTCGAGTCTGTCAGTTTTGGATTATTTGTACCAAGATGGGTTTCTAAGGTGTTACCGTTCATGGCTGCTGAACGTCTACCCTGATGCCATCATGTGCTGATTACTAAATGCTTAGAAACATAGGCTGTTGGCTCTTGACCTGGAAAAGATACCTGGTGATTTCAAGGAGTAGGCAGGCCACGGACAGCAGGGAGGGAGCGAACCACACCGCCTGAGACAGTGCCTCTTGGGCTGCTACCAAGTCAGGGAAGGGAGTGTAAATTGTCAGCAAAAATGCAGGTTTTCACCTAATTTACAGATGTTCCCATGCTAGCTGGGCCAAGTCAAAGACCAGCTCAGTGCTGTGTGAAATTGGGAACTCTATAGGTGCAACCGGGAAAGGGTCTGGCCCACAGTAGCTGGATGGGGGCACGACCTTCATGTGGACTGGATCTGCTTCCCTTTGCCACTGCTCTCATCCGTCCTGCTCAGCCCCAGCTGCTCGCGGGTCCCCTGATCTAGGAGATAGGAGCCCTCCCTCCGTCTATAAACTTCTTCCTTGGTGTCTTGAGCCTTAAACCCATCTGCCTGCACCTAGGCATCAGCCGATCCCAGAAACGCTCAACAGCTCTGCTTCCTAATGCTGACCGGGGGAAAAAAAAAACATTTCCCACCCCAGAAGGATGCTGGTGTCTTTTGGCCCCCATACGAACACGGCCCGGGCGAGTGAGACTATCGGTGCTGATGTTGCTCTGCGGTGTGGTTCAGCTCTGGGTGCAGCACCAGCAATTGTTCTGTTTCTTCCCGAAGGAAACAGCAAGTCCTTGGCAATACAAACATTTCACAACCCTCCTGCACCACTCCCTGCCATTCTCCTGGAGGCTGGAGTCCGTGAGCGGTGAGGCTGCCTGGCGCTGGGCTTCCCCATGGGGAGTCGAACCCATGCCAAAGGGTCTTGATGCTCTCCAGGAAGACCCGTGGTCCTGGCAAACACACAGAATTGGTGATTTAATATAGATACAGCTAAAATGTGGGGCAGTCTGGGGAGAGATGATGGTAAAGTGGTTTGGTCCACCCAGGGAGGCAGATGGCCAAGGAGATGCAGGGTTTGGAGGTTTACTAGTGTCTCGGGCTCCCAGCCAACCTTGAGCTCCCATCGCAGTCTTCTGCTGACATGAAAGGGCTCTGGATCAAGCCTTGCTAAATTTGTTCTCCCAATGTCTGCATCTTTCCTCTCTGCTGTTTCCGGGCTGTGGTCATGAGCTGCATCTAGCCTAGAAGTTCAGAAACCCATTTCTGGATCCCAACCAGGGTATGTGGTTATACAGCGAGGCACGAACAACAGGCTTAACATCTTTAGACCTGTTGTACGTTTGGGATTGGAGGCCTCAAATCTCCCTAATCCTCCTCCCTTGCACTGGAAACCCGAGTGAAAAATTCAGCAGGGTCAGAGCCTTTATTGAATGAAGCGTCTCTCATGTCTGTGCAGGCAAAAGGGCTGAGGATGACGGAGGGGAGCATCTGCAGTCATCATGTTTGGACAGGACCTACCCATCCTACCAGCCAAGGCTCAGCTGCATGTTTGGGACAGCCGCTGGAGCCATACTGCTACTCGCCAGTAGATGATCAGCTCCTGAAACAGCTCTGTTCCTGGAAAGCCTCAATGAAATGTTCTGCAAGAGATGAGCAGGGAGAGGCTGGATACAGCAACGCTCAGTGCCCTTGGCAGAGCTTCCTGGTGAGTATTCCCAAAGGAATTCTCCATTCCTCTCACTACTTTGCCCTGCTGTTATGCTTTGCAGTCTGCCCCAAACTATCCGGAGCAGGGAAATGTAGTGGCATTCCCTTGTAGAGTCTGCAGAAGCTTTTCAAAGGCAGTGGAGGTACATGGAGTTCACTTTCCAGTTAATTTTGATGCAAACAGAGAGGTCCTAAATACCTTGTTCTAGCACAGGCATATTTTTAATGGGGCTGCAAGACACGTGTCCTGTCCTGTCGGGAGTTTCTGCCTGGACCAGTCCTTGGGGCAAGAGTTCAGAGAAATGCCTCCAAGAATTGAACCCTTAGCTGTAGCCCTGGGCAAGGGCTTATCCTCAGAAGCTAAATATGTGATGGGAAACTAAACTGAGCCCGGGCACGGATCTAAACGCTGTCCCTTTATCATCCATACTGCACGTTCCTTGGCACAATTGTGGCCCATGGCAGCTAGTGCTCCTCAAACAATGTCTGGGCATGGTCCAGGGATAGCCTGGGGCAGGTACCATTCCCAGGAAACAGGCTGGATGTGGCTGCAGTGACCTGGGATGAAGCAGCATAGATGGGAGCCATGCTGGGTCACTTGGCCTCAGGGATGAAAAACAGTCTCTGGCGTCTTTATTTACTAGCGCAGATGAATCCAGCGTGCTTGCAGATCTGTCAAGTATCTGTTGTAGATTAACTCTGCTTAGTGACCTCTTTGAAGGCAAATGAGCTCAGGTGTTCAGCTACCAGCGTTTCTGAGCGAGTGCCACGTTTGTCTGCCAGCACAGTCTATGTGTTTTCCTGCGCTCACCTGAGTGAGTGCCAAGCACCCGCAGCTCTGCAGCAGCTCGCTCGCTGGGTCAGCAAGGGCAGTAACCAGGAAGTTGCTCCAAAACACAGCGTTATTTGTCTTCAGATGTAGGGATTACTGAGACTATTCATCTTATGGCAATAAATATACTTGTCAACTGCATTTGGTCCTGCCAAGTCCATTACCTAAACGGCCTCTTTGTTCTGTCCGTGTTACAATCTTACATCAGTTTCTAGAGTTTCTAGAGATCTGTCACCTCGCGTCACGTGCGCAGCTTGGAACAATTCTCAGTTCACAGCTCCATGACTCTTTTCCATGACTTCCCCAGCATTGCTTATATGTTTAAATTGACATTAATTACCCCCTACTGCGCTTAAGTTCCTTGTGGCCCTGTTTTTCAAGGGTACAGAAGTCTTGGGATGTTCCACCTGCCTGAAGTCTCTGATCTGGCTCTACAGGATCCTTGAGCTCTGGGGCTGCCCATGGTGCTAAGAAACCTAAATCCTCTTTCTCGTCCTCAGGCTCAAGTAAAATTGCATCCAGCAGCTGTGAGTAAAATTACATCCAGAGGCTGCTCTGGTACTCATGCTGGGGACACCTGGGGATGCAGAGGGCTTCATTTGTGCCTCTGGCTGCAGAGTGGATGGCCCTCAAAGCAAGAATCCAGGTAGTGCCTGGACTTCACAACTATGCCTGTCCTTGGAGGATAACAGTGCTGGAGTCTGTTCTCCGACCCTGAGGCTAACCAGCATTGCTGGGCCGTGTTCATGCTATTAGAAATCCCTTAGCCACCAAAATGGGGTGGCCACATGCCAGCTACCTGTACGGAATGGTTGCTTGCCCGTGGTAACTCCCAAACCACGCCTGGGTCTTGTCTGGTATAGCGTTAGCTGGCTGAGGTCAAAGCCGGGCCAGCAACCATTCCAGTTGTTTGAGCATCTAGATGAATTAACTCTAGTGCTGTTTAATTTACTAGTACAGATGTAGCCCGTGTTGTGGGGAAAGGGCAAGACGTCACGGCGTCTCATGTGTGGAGTTTCTAGGCAGAGCAGTTAAACGGCTGACGCCTCTTCTCTGGTGAGGAGCTGTGAGACCTTGGGCTGCCCGGATCACCCTGGGTAGTGAACCATGAGTTACGGCACCCATCCCTCATGCCCCAGTATATTTTTTGCTCTCACCTGTGTTGGAGTGCTACCAAGTCTGCAGGAGGCAACTGGACACACTTCAGGGGACCTCCGGTTCTGTCCCAGGAAACACGTACCTCCTGGCAGAGTGACTGGAAATACAAATTCTTCCACATCCTCTTGCCCATTTGCAATCCCCCCGCCAACTCAGAAGACCCTCCAAAGACCTATGCTGAAACTCTGTGAATTTTAATTCCACACCAACAACTCACGTTTACAGTCAAACATATTCAAGCCTGATAATAACACATAATGGCTTTTTTTTACTCCCGGCCAAGTGCAGCCAAGCTCAATGCAAGATCAATTTGCTCTGGTCATAGCAAACAAACAGCCTTGCTATGCCCACAGACCGTGATGTACAATGCCTATTCAGCTGGGCTGGAGACACTCCAAAGCAAGGTCTGCAGGCATTGGATGGAGGTGGGGGTCACCCAGCTCAGGCTCTTATCTGCTTGTTTAGCCTTTTATCTACTCTGAAATTCAAGGTGATCTCTGAAGTCAGCAGTCTCATGTTGTGTTATAGTCCAAAGTCTTGAAAAGGCACCTAGAAGACTTGGCCTCACCCAAGGATGGAGGGAGCTGTGCTGTTAACTCCATTAGCCGGATGGGGTGCTCTTGAACCTGGTGCCTACACCTCTGCTCCCTGCCAGCTTTGCCCGCCCTTCCTGAACAGAGCAAAGCAAAGTGGAGAAGAAAGCATGTCACAAACAAATCCATGGGCTGAGACTCGCAAAGGGAGCCAACTGATACGTATGCAGCTGGCCTCTCAACAGCCACAAGCAAATGCAAAGGTGTGCCCATGGCTCCTTTTAGTTGACTCAATTTGTCAAAGAGGAGTAGGTACGTGTATTACAGCCTTTCTTATCAGATGACATGTTTATGGCAGTAGCTGATTGGCACGCATGGCTCTGGATACGGAAGAAGACTTGGAACTCACCACCAATCCCTCCCCCTATCTGTGCTCTCCTCCTTTCTCTTTTCCATTTTTTGCCAGCCACTTCAGTGGTGCCCTCCACAGCGTGCTTTCTCATCGGCACCAAACCTGAGGTGGGTTGCAACAGTCCTTTCTTTTTCGATAGCTATTGGATGAAGAACCTTACTTGGGGGTTGTGGGATGGAGGCACTGGGCACAGCAGGAAGGGCACACAGGCTTCTGTTTCCACTTCTGAGCACGGGCAGGCATTGCTTCATTCTATGTTTTCATATCACATCCGTCTGCTGTTTGCTTAAATCGCCAAATAACTTAAATACGTTATTGCATGGCTGTGAGGACTCCAAAGTGGCTGTTTACAGCTTTTCTATGGGGAAATGAGTGGTGGCTGTTCTCAAAATCAGATAGGCAAAAAGGAGCTGATGAAAAAAGGTAGTGGGTGATGATGGAGGAAAGTCTGGGGTCTTTGGATGAGATGTTGTGCCCTGTGAGTGCCTGTTATAAGCACCTTGTGTATGGAGCTACTGCGGGGGCACTTTCCTCTCACAAAGTGGGAGGAGGCTGGTGGTAAATGTACTTCAGCTCTTCCCAACGTCCCCTGAACCCCTGTGCATACCTCCCTACCAAGCTATATACCAAGAGCTGCGTCCCTGCTGTGTCCAGTGTGCGCCCATGTCTGTGGTGTTTGCAGATTCACTCATGGAGCTCATGGAAGGGAAGAAGACCTTCTGCAAGAATCTCCTCACCTTTATGCTCTTCAGCTTCATATTCAGCTTCTGTCTCTTTGCTTCTTTTCATCAGTTCAGGACTCCTGAGCCAGAGCATAATAATACCCATCCCTCTGCACAAACAGCCCTCACTGATTCCGGCACCCCACCAAAAAGCAAGCATGAGCTGACCATTTTGCTGTGGACCTGGCCCTTTGGGCAGCGCTTTAAATTCAGCAGCTGCTCGGAGCTCTACAGCACGCCAGAATGCCACTTCACTGCCAACCGGAGCTGGTACCACAAGGCCAGTGCTGTGATTGTGCATCATAGGGATGTGTCTTGGAACGTAAAGGGACTGTCCCAGGTCACCAGAATCCCTTCGCAGCGCTGGATCTGGTTCAACCTGGAGTCGCCCAGTCACTCGGCCAACCTGGGCGCCATGGACAACCTCTTCAACCTGACCATGTCCTACCGGAGGGACTCGGACATCTTCAGCCCCTACGGGGAGCTGCAGCTCCTTAGCCAGCCCCAGCCCTTCAGCATCCCGCCCAAGGCCAAGCTCGTGGCCTGGGTGGTCAGCAACTGGCGGGCAGACTCCCACCGGGTGAAGTACTACGAGCAGCTGAGGCAGCACATCGCCGTGGACGTCTACGGGCAGCAGCACCGGCCCCTGGCCCAAGACCAGCTCCTGCCCACCATGGCCCAGTACAAGTTCTACCTGGCCTTTGAGAACTCGCAGCACGAGGACTACATCACCGAGAAGGTCTGGAGGAACGCCTTGTCGGCTGGCACCGTCCCCGTCGTCCTCGGGCCGCCCCGGGACAACTACGAGCGCTTTCTGCCCCCCGACGCCTTCATCCACGTTGATGACTTTGCCAGCGCCCGGGACCTGGCGCGGTACCTGCAGGAGCTGAGCGAGGACGCTGAGAGATACCAGCGCTACTTCCAGTGGCGGCGGTGGCTGAAGCCCGTGAATGCGCCCGGCTGGGCCGTCCACCTCTGCCGGGCCTGCCGGGTCCTGCAGACGACGGAGGCCCGGTACCAGGTGGTGCCCAAGCTATCTGAGTGGTTTGTGTAACTGCTATTTTCTCGGCTCCTGACTGTATTTTGATCTTGTTGAACTTGCGATTGGGTGCAATTTCACAGGAGGATTGAACTTGTTAAAAATGGAGGGACAATAAGAGCTTTGAAACCAACAGGAACAAGGAAACAATCAGTGTTCATGTCTTTGTTTTACGAGATAATAGACTACCCGATAGAGTAGTACATTGGGTTTTTTTTCTGTTGGTGTTTGAGTTAATGCAGGCTGCAGCCTTGCCTATGGAGAAATTCAGTGCAAAATGCTTTTTTTTTTTTTTTTTAAACCACCAATCTGCTAACAGCTCTGGGTCACTCCATATGTTGGAGAGTAGAAACAAATGGCTGGGAGGGGGAGGAGGAATAAAAATATGTATCATAAACCTGCTTCAGGGACTTTGTACTCTGCAAGGCTGTGGTGGAAGGAGTGGCCGGGCCATGATGCAACCAGCTGCTGCTGGAAGGTGCGGTCTCACCCCTTCCTTCTTCACCTCCCAGCCCACCACCCCACTTCTGCCCTTGCTCTGCCTCCAGCCCTCCCTGACTGTCTTCGAGGTGCTGCGGCAGGGTGCTGAACAGGCAGGCAACTCTTCACTTTTTGTTTTGCAAGGCTAGTTTTTGGCCAGATTGGCAAGACACGATTCGTGATTGGTTCAGGAAAGAGGGTGAGAGCAGCCGATGGGAGCGAGAGCAGGGAGGGAAGGGGAAGGAGCGAGCCCCCGTTCTGGAAACAGTTGGCTCGGCCAACTATGCGGACTTTCCCTCGGCTTCTCCAGTGACTTACAGAAACCTGAGGTGGTGTCTTTGCCTTTTAATTGCCTTTTGCGGATGTTTTTCGTCCGTTTGCCTAGCCACCCCTTGCAGCACGTGAAGTTTTAGCGCATGCAGTGCCCTGCGGCAAGGCGTCCCGCAGCATCTGAACCTCTCGACGTCCGACTTCAGTGGACGCCCTCCGGGCCTCGCGTTGCAAAAACAGGCTGAAGGAGTAGCCCTTAGTCAACTTTCTCCTGTATGCCTGTAAGCTGTTTCTTCTCCAGGTTGAGGAGCCCCATCTCACTGAGTTGTTTCCCCCATGCAGCTTTTCCGCACCTCCCACTCCCCTCTGCTCTGGCTGGCTGGGGCTGGGGGGCCCGCGGGAACCATGGGGCAGCGGTGCCCTCCTGGGGTCCCTTCCTACAGCTCTGGATATCCTTGCACTGGCCCAGGTTGCCCAGAGAGGTTGTGGCGTGTCCTTCCTTGGACATATTCAGAAACCATCTGGACCCAGAGCTTGGCAACTTGCTCTCGGTGGCCCTGCTGGAGGGATTGGACGAGACGCTCTCCAGAGGTCCCTTCCAACCTCAACCATGCTGTCATTCTGTGAGCCCCGTGTTGAGGTCTTCATAGATTTATTCTAACCCCACGTTCCCACACGTCCTGCGTGGTAAATCAGCTCCAAGACCACCGATGTGTTCAGGTGCCCAATTGCTTATTCTGTCGCCATCGGCCATGAATTCCCTCTGCGTTTCTGCCTGCAGTCGCTTGGTAGCAGAAGGTCCCTCTGCAAGACTGTACCGCTGTGAGCCCCGGTCACCAGCAACCTCCGTTATCTGCTTTTTTCCTCCCCGCTCTGCTTTGCAGATGGCTTGAACGCGGGGATCTGGGCAAGCCGAAGGCCAGCTCCTTTGCTCTGAAATCCGAACGCCGACGCCGCCCCTCTCTTCCCCGTCTTCCCGCTGCTGCGCGGCCAGTCGACCCCTTCCTGAGGCCGCTCGGGTCCTCGAGGAGCCTCGGAGGGACCGTCGGGCCGGCTGCGGCG